GCGGGCTGGATAAATGTCCTGGGCTGGCTGCATGTGGCCCGCGGGCCGTAGTTAGGACGCCTGATAGAGGTAAGGGAGGCGAAGACAGTGCCGTGTTACCTACAGTCCCCATATTAATGACCCCAAAGATGTCCACATCCTAACGTTCACCTTCTGTGACAGATGTGATTAATAATCTTGGGACGAGGGAGATTATTCAGGTATCTCGGTATATCTGATGTGACAACAAGAGGGAAAGAGGAAGGTGGGAGAGTCAGAGATGTGGTGATGGAAAGAAAGGTCGCAGGACGAAATTGCCGCTTTGGAGAACAAAATGGACTGTGAGTGAAAGAACACCGGAGCCACTTGGGGCTGGAAAGGGCCAGTAGTTAAACCCATAGAGCCTCTAAAGAAAGTGCTGGTAACGCTTTGATTTTAGCCGGGTTGATTAAAACCTGTTTTGGCCCTTTCACAACTTTAGGATTATAAATTTGTAGTGTGTTTGTGTTAGCCAATGTCTTAGTCCATTGTGTGCAGCTGTAACAGAAGACCTGCTGCTGGGTCATTTATGAAGCACAGCAATGTATTGTCTTATGGGCTCTGGAGTCTGGCAAGACCAAAATTAAGGTACTTTCTTGCTTGTTCCTCTTGTGGCACCAGATAGAAGGTTGGGAAAGCGTTTGACCGCTGTGTTCTCACGTGGCAGAAGAGCAGAAGTGAGTGAACTCAATCCATGCGGCCTCATCCGCGGACCCCACACCTCCCTCCAGGCCTCACCTCCCAACACTGTTACACTGGGTATTAACTTTCCAAAACATAAATTTGGGGAACACATTCAGACCACAGCAATCACTCCTAAATTTACTACTAAGTAAATTATTGTTAAAGGGGAGAATGTGAGGATAGGAAGATAGATGAGAGCACAGGTGATACACACACGAGTGTGCGCATTAACCTGAGTGTAGATGTGTGTGTGTGATATATATGGATGTTTGTATCAGATATATATGTGTGTGTATGTGTGTACACATGCATATGTGAGCGTGTGTGTGTTCTATATGTGTGGATGGGTGTATGAAATTCTATAACATGGTAGGTGCAAGTTATGTATGTGTGTGTTTGCACAAGTGGATGGGTGTATGAAATTCTATAACATGGTAAGATGGCAAGTTTGGAACTTCTCTATCAAGATGTCCTAATTACCTGCATTTATATAAATAATAATCACTCTCTGAAGATGATTTTCTCACTTCCTCTCAGATGGATTCGCCGAGGACTGGAGAAGCAGAGTTTGGGTAATTTTATGCTTTATCATGTCACACTTTCAGATCCCTCTACAGTAGTTTCATTCTACATATGCAAATTCCTCTGCCATGTTATTTTTGTGTATTTTAATCTCTGTTCAGAGTGTTATTCATAATAATGTATCCCTGTTTTTTAAAAACTGGTAGAAAAGGGGCGGTGCCTGTGGCTCAAAGGAGTAGGGTGCTGGCCTGTGTATGCCAGAGGTGGCAGGTTCAAACCCAGCCTCAGCCAAAATCTGCCCCAGCCCCCACCCCCCCCCAAAAAAAAATAACTGGTAGAATATGTTACTGCAATATAATGAGGACTCGTGACGCTATTCAAACTTTCAAAATGAAATAAAAATCACTGATTTTAACTTTTTATTGGTCTTCATAATCATCCTTGACTATCCACAGCATAAACATCAGAGCTCCAATGTGTAAAACGTCTCAACGCCTTTCAGAAATGACCTGATAAGTAAAGAGAATTGGCCTAGTTTGGAGAAAAGTTCAAGTGTATGCAATCAGAAAAATTAATACAAGGTGATTAGATATTAATAATGGAACAGAATTCTCGCTGTTCTCTCACCCATTCACTGATTCAGACTTTTCACTATTATAGATTACTAGCCATAATTATAATTTTTAAATATTTTACATCAAGTGAAACAATATTTGCCTTTGAAAACTATGTACTGTGATTACCTAATTATACCTTCTTCATCAGACTAGTAAAGCTAAATATTAGCAAATTGTACAGTCATCCCCTTCTCATAAATACAAGTCAAATTTATTTTAAAAGATTAAAATACAGGCTCAAGCAGCTAAGGCACCAGCCATATACACCTAAGGTGGTGGGTTCGAATCCAACCCGGGCCCACCAAACAACAATAATGGCTGCAACCAAAAAATAGCCAGGCATTGTGGCAGGCGCCTGTGGTCCCAGCTACTTGGGAGGCTGAGGCAGGAGACTCGCTTGAGCCCAGGAGTTGGAGGTTGCTGTGAGCAGTGAAGCCATGGCACTCTACCCAGAGGGACAGCTTGAGGCTTTGTCTCAAATAAAAAAAAAAAAAAGATGAAAATACAGAGGTTAGGACAGAAAGTTAATCAATTTTCTCCATGTAGCTCCTGTGTTTGGAGTTTCCCAAACTGATTTGAAGTATATTCAAAACAATGCCCTGTAATACTCCTTTATACATATTTTTCATTAAGTGACAACTATTAATTATAGCTATTCATGGGATACCTCGTGATGTTGGGATACAGGTACTGTATGTCTATGCAGCATATCTGTTATCTCAAACATTCATCCTTTTTTATGTATTTGAATCACTCAATATCCTTCTTTTAGTTATTTGAACATGGTATATTATTAGCTATGATCATCCTACAGTGTGTAGAACACTAGAGCTCATTCTTCCTGCCTAGTGATAATTTACAGTGTTCCATAACACTTTTGTGTAATTCTATTTTATAGTTAAAAAGAATGTTTTTCTCCTAAGTAACACTTTCTGCATGTAACTCTTTCCTCTGTGAAATTGCCTATGCTGACCTGTCCATCTGCCCTTTTCTCTCCCTGTGTCTTCATATAGCTCAAAGCCCAATTCTACATTTTTTTTTTTTTTCTGAACTTGCTCTTGATTTTAGGAAACAAACTTTATCTGCACTTCTTTTTGGTACTTAACATTATAGCTCTTTGTGAACTGGTTGTATCTTCCCTACTACAGAGTGGAAGCTCATACATGAAAGGAATTATCTCATTCTTCTTCTGACCTGAGGCACCCACGGTGTCCAGAGCTGGGCATTAAATACAGAAAAATTTCAGTTACTAGGGGAAGAATGTGATTTCACTGTCCTCCTTACTAGCTCGCTATCTTTTAAAAAATATGTTGTTAGTTACCTACAAATAATTATTATATTTATGGACATTGTTCTTGATTAGTCCTTAGTTCTTTTCAGAGTAACATTGCTTCTAAAAATAAACTCTTTTGGACAAATGTCTAAAATGGCAGAAACAGATTTAAAATCCTAAGTTTTAAAAATACTAAGAAATGCTTCCAGCACATCGATTTATGCTCATGATTCCTCATTTACTTTGTATGTGTTTTGCATTTCATTGGAATTTTGGTTTTATCACAATTAATTAAATTTACTACCAAAGTATACATGATATAAAATTAAAATAATTCTGTCATTAGTTTTTTCTTTGGATAGTATAGTCCTTATAAATAATAAATATTTTATTTGGCAATCAGTATGAGCCAGGCTCTCCATATTAACTCATTTGATCATTACAGTTGCTTTATGTTGTACACACAACTATGATACATGTTTAATGGAAGAAGTAAGGCATGTTTGGACAGTTTAAATAAGTCCACACAACTGGTTAACAGCAAAGCAGAGGATTTGAACCCTTAAAGTGTGGCTCACAGCCACTAAATCTCAGTGCTTCTATTTCCTCTTAGGACAGCGGTTCTCAACCTGTGGGTCGTGACCCCTTTGTAACAATGAAAATACATCCTGAAGATCAGATATTTACATTATGATTCATAACAATAGCAAAATTACAGTTATGAAGTAGCAACGAAAATAATGTTATGGTTGGGGGTCACCACACATGTGGAACTGTATTAAAGGGTTGCGGCATTAGGAAGGTTGAGAACCACTGTGTTAGAAGCTTTTCTTATTTTTCCTGGAAGGACATTAGTCTCCCTCTCGTCTTTGTTACGTCTTCCTTCTGAGGCCTTGATGTTCATATAGCATTTTTCAAATATTATTATTTAAAGTTGTGGTTCAGAAGACTTTGAACACAATGGTGTCAGGAAATATCTTTATCATCATGCCTTTATATAATTGCATGCATGAACTTCAGCTTGTTCCTCTGTGAAAGGGAAATGACAGTCCTCACAGACAAGGCTAATGAGAGTAGCAATCGAGATAAGCAAGTTAAATAGTGGGCATATTCCTGAAATTTAGTTATTACTCAGTAAATATTAATTCTATTTTTCCTTTCTCTTTTAATAATTCCTACTTTTGAATTTGAGACAGTATTTCTCTGGGCAGCAGCAAAGAACATGAGAATTCCTGAAAATACCTTGGCTTGTATTTGGTACGTAGTCCAATTTCTGAGAGCGTATCTTTTCCATGTGCAAACATTAAAACTGTTCCTGTCCACGCTGATCACCTACGTTTTCCATTTACTGATCACGAATTTGTGGAACTTAACAAGTGAGAGAGGACAGTCGACGGGGTCTTGTGTGTTTACGTTTATGTACATGTTTATATTCCTAGTCTTTCACATACAGAAAAACTCCGTGCAGTATTAATCATGCAACTGAACGGAGGCAAAATATTTAAAATTTTTCTTTCTTTTTTTTTTCTTTAGTTATAATTTAGTAAGGCAATTATATAGCTCATTTTCAGGGCATGGCTTGTGTTTCCTAAAACATAGGGTGGGAATCATAAAAATATATGAAATTGTTCCTATGAGTTTATAAAATTCAGAATTTAAGTAAAACATTTTTACTGTGAGTTTTCCAAACTATAGAAAACCCTTCTTCCTCTTCAAAGTACCTATTAAGACTTCCGTGAAATACTTCTTAGTATTCCCTGGAGCACAGTTGTGGAAATGGTTTGGTGTGAGACAATTGAAGATGTTAAACTTCATCTTCATCAGTGTCTCCAAAGTTATGTATGCAATTCTAAAATGTGTGACTCACAAACTGAGGTGCCTGGCTTGTGTTCGCTTTGGCGGCACATCTACTATAATTGGAACGACACAGAGAAGATTAGCATGGCCCCTGCCCAAGGATGACAAGCAAATTCGTGAAATGGTCCATATTTAAAACAAAACAAAACTGAGTTTCTTGGTTAAATATGTTAGAAAGTTGTTTAAAGGGGTTTCTGTTACTGCAGGAATCCTTATAAATTTTAATATGTTAATACACATATGTCAATTGTATGTTAAAATCTCTAAGAGGAGACTCAACCACATTGCTGAGGACTAGTTTTAAATTATATTGTGAGTGTTTTTTAAGTGACTGGCGGAGATGAGAGAATGAGAGAAAATGAAGAGTGAAGACACAGAGAGACAGTTTAAAGAGCTGGGTCAAGGAGATTGCCCATTCTGAGTGTGAGGACCAGCGGCAGTCGTTAGTTCTGGGCCAGTTTTGTTTTTATTATATACATTATCATTTCAACCGTTAATAAATGGGGGTGGGTTAAACCCTTATGGTTTTTGGTGGGTTTTTATTTTTTAACTGAACTATTTTTTTTAACTAATTATATTAGACTGACTTATCGCTTATTATTGTAAGTTATTTATAATTTTAAATGAACAGAGTATGGGATGGGAACACAGTTTAGGAGTAGGATGTCAAAGTAGACCCAATTAGACCACATGCAGATATTTTAGGATGGAGATTAACCCCAGGGAAGTCTTGTGTTGAGACAGGCTGGTGCTTTTGTCTATATTGAGATGACAGAAGAAAGAAAATATTTTTCTCTTTATCTTTTTTGAGAGACCTTATTTATTTTTTTTCCTTAATGAGATTTAGAAGTTTGTTCCATCTCTAGTGAGTTTAGTGGGTTTTTTTTGTTAACTCCCTGAAAGTATTAACTCTTGATCATGGATGTTTAGCCTCTAGAACTAGACAAATAAAGTTTTTTAAAAGCTAGCCCGTCTTTGGTGTTTGTAATAGCAGCACTAAGTGCCCCAAGTGTGTACATAAGTCCTTGTCCTCTTGGATTTAGAGTCAAAGCTATCCACACTGGCCTTCCCTGACCACAAAGGACTGTGTTTACATTCAAACTTGTCTCATGAACGCTCACCAATGAGGACATCGTTCACAATACACGAAGCATTATCGCAAGCATTTAATTATATTCTGAGCTTTTCCTGCCACAAGAGTCAAAGAACGTTTAGAGCAGTTAGAAGCCATTGGCCTGTGAATGTAGTTATCCTTTTCCTTCTTCCCTCTTATTTGGTCTAACTTTAAGGTAAACGCTTAGGTCCATTTGACTTCATCCTCTCGGGTTGTCTTTGTTTTTCCAAGTTACAATGGTAGCATTTGGTATTCAATTCAGGAAAGAATGATTACATTGGAAAATATCTAAATTATTGAGGGGGAAGAATCCACTGCTTTTGTCCCTTAATAGAAAGTACACTAAAATAGAAACAATAATGTTTGCCTGTTTTTGACTAATTTAATAAAATATTTATTCTATACACCATTAATAGATTTACCAGCATTATAGATTTAAGTGCTGTCTGTGTGTGGAGTGGATTAGCCCTGAGGTAAGTAGAGTTAATTCTTTCTATATGGCTGCTTGTTACGAGGCTGCCTCTGACATAGATCTTGTAATGGTTCCTGTTGATTGATCTAATTATATACACGTGGTTTTATTGGAGCTTTGTGAATCTGGAGATACCCATGTTTGCTTAATGTTCTACAAGCACAATTCAAAACCCTTTAGGCTTCCCAGGATTGTTTCCATAATCCTTAATTGAGAAAAGTAAGCCTGGAGAATTTTGAAATACCCTGCCTAAATCAAGCTCCTGGGCCAGAATATTTTCCCATTAGAATTTTTTTTTTAAAGAAAGAATCTTTTTTTAATACATATAATCTATTTTTTATGAGTGCTATTTTCTAATTAAGTGAAGTACATTTATTTCCGTGAATGTGCATACAAATACCATTGCTTTTTGGGACTTGATTATCAGATGTGAGGAATGAATATGTCACAAGAAATAATAAAATAAAATTACATCATTGAAAACAGTGAAGAGCAGAGAAATAGCGATATTTCAAAGCAAGGCTAACAATCCTTAAATTACTGCATTTTATGTATAAAATTAAGTAAGTAGAATTTTGTAATTTTAATAACTTTAAATAATGTTTGTCAAACACTCCAATGGTAGATATAAATCTGTGAATCTCAGTTGTTTTAATTGGTCTTCATAATACTTAAGAATATTAGCCTGATGCTTGAGATGTTCAGTTGTGTCTCTGATCTATCCTTTTTCTCTGCAGATTTTACTACTTTTATACTTTTTTGTATTGCCTGAAGAATAATTCTAACAAATAAGAATAGTCCTTTTTTTTTTTTATCCAACCCCAGTATCTTGCGGTTTTGAGCATCATTTTTGTAATAAAGCTTTATCTCACTGAAAGCCCAAGACAAATCTCAGGGTTGGAAACTTCCACAGATCCATTAAAATTTTTTTGACCAATTTTTTTATTCATTATCCTAAATGTTGTTAATCATAAAACAGTAAAACAGCAGAGCTGGGTGAAGTTCCTCTCACCGACGCCCCACCCAGTGTAGACGTGTTTAGCTTCAGTCACTGTATTGGGACTGAACAGTGTATAGGTTTATGTGTGTGTGTGGGGGGGGATGGCACTGACTAAAAGGGGAAAATATAAGAAATAGGGATTTATTAATAAAAATGGGAGCTTTGTGGCACCAATCATATTCTTTAAGTAGCTCACTTTCCTAATACTGTATTTACCAACCTCGATTAGAGAAAAGAGTTGTCTAACGCACTTTGGGTAACTGAAGCAGCTCAATTAACTGCTAAAGGAAGGGACGTGGGTTCATCTTTACTTTAAAATCGATAGACACTGATGGCTGCAGTGTAACTTCAAGGAGTTATTTCAAAAGGAGAGAAGGTTTGATCAATGAAATGAGAGTTGAAAGAGCTTTATGGTTCAGAAAGGGTCAAGAATCAAAAATGATCTGAGACTCTTTAAGTGGGACTCCTGGTGTCAAAATGCACACGAGCTCATTGAGAACCTCTCGTTATAAACAGCCTATAATTGGTTCATACTTTTTTATTTACAATGCCTGCAGACGTTCAGTGAGCCTTTATTGTCAGGCACTCCATTAAGCACTTTTAAAATTAATCCTCTTAAGAAATTTGTGAGTGTGGGAACTATCTTTATCTTTATTTTACAGATGTGAACACTGAGGCATAAAGAGGTTAAGTCACTTGCTGCAGGCAGAAGCAGAAGGCAGGAGTCAGTCCTAGGTGTTTCGATTGCATTCTTATCGCTAAAGAATATTGCCTAATAGTGAAAAAACTGTTGAAAGTTTGAACATTTCGAAACTGGGGCAACATTCTTGTCAAAAACCGCACCACATCAACCCAAAACACTAAGGGATTGGCAGTCTGTTTTTCCAAATGAAAATAAACACACAAACAAAAACGATCGTTTCTATTTGAATCTTCACATTCTGCTCTACCTAGTAATTCCCTCCCAACCATTTAGAAGGTATTAATACAATAAAACTGAGGTTGAGGAAGCAACTACTGATTTTTTTTTCAGTGGCCCTCCCATCCCCAGGGACATATTTTCTTTTCTTTTTTCCTTTCAAGACCTTTCTATCTGGCCAACACCTTTACCTTTCTTTGTAATGTGTAACTCCCTTTGTTTTTCTCGCTTTAAGGTTTTCTGATAGTCTAAGCATCTGTCTTTGAATCTGTTAATGATGTTCAATTGAAAATTCAGTTTTTCTCTAAATATAATATTGTTTTTCCCTAAAGAGATGGGGGGGAAGGAAACTTGAAATAGCAGCTATGGGCTCTGCCTTAAACGGGGATTAACAGGAGCATCTCGAAAACATCGGGCAACCGTATGAAAATGCGGGATGCAGCTGTAGTTAGTGAGTTTGCTGCCCTGTGTGCATAATATGCGCTTGTGATGGGAGTAATGTCATATAGTATTTAACTCTGACATTTAGTGTTTGCCCTAGTCGACGGTCTTCCTTTTACTTAAGTGCCATTACTTTTATGGAGTCCATTTTCATTGCATTTAGTCCCATTTTAGTAATAATGCTTGCATGATTTACCAGGCAAATGCAATCTTTGCCCTGAATGGCACAGTGCAGGAAAAAATGGAAGCTGTTAAGAGGCTGAATGGCAAAAAAGTATTATTGACCTATGCTGGCAGCCATGTGTTTCAATTATTTTCAAGAATCCATTTGTCAAATAAGTGAAGCGATGTGGGACGTCAAGTTCAAGCTGGGGTTAGTGCCTTTCTACATCTGATATGATGTATCTTCTGTAGCCATTTAATTGAATTACCCAATTTATTTTTCAAGCAACAATGCTCTACCAAGAGCCATGACATTAAACAATTAAATATGAGTTTAAAAGTCTGTGTTTTGTGTAGTTCATCATTCCTCTGTAGTAGAAAGTGAGCCCAAGGGCTGAGGATCTCTGATCTGGTGGAGTAAAAGCTTTGCTTCTGGGGGAACACCTGAGCTGTCCCATGTGGGAACAGTTTAAAAATAATAACACTTCATAACTCCTATTTCTTTTAGCACAGCGGTGATGTAAACATTTAGATTAAACTGATATTACTCGGTAATTCCTTGAGATACACCGTTCTGTGTGGAAAGGCAAACTTGGCCGTGATTGCTTTAACTAATGCTCAGTGAGTTTGATCAAAAAGCTTTTTATTTGAAGTGGCTGCCTTTTGTGAATACAGAAAGGAAATCCTAAGGTTAAAAAATCAGACTTGCAGAAATTTTGAAGGGAAAAACGCAGTTAAGGAGTACACTATTTTCAAATTACTAAAATATTTTTTGGCCATTAGCACTTACAGGGTTCTTAAAACTTTTAAAGGAAAACAAGGCAACTCATCACAACATTTTTATTTGGGGCTTGGAAGAGGCATTAAGGTAGAGAGAGAATGAAAGAAGGGGAGAGAAAATTCAAATCAAATGTGTTCTGGCTTTTGACAAGGTAACTGCTATGGAAAAACACTTAAAGTTTAATTTTAATTGATTTCATTGGGGGTATTAATCCTATGCTAAGTTTTAAGAGCACTTTATTCTACAT